CTGTACGATCCCCCACTTGTATACATTTAACACTGTTCCATTTGTAGACATTAACAAGTGATAATGCTTCTCTCAATGCCATAAAAACCTTTACCTACTTTCTACAAATCTAGCTCTGGTAATGACACAGGATCAGGCCAGAATGATTTTCCTGGTCCATTTGGGAAATCTACCTGTCATGCTAGGAAAGCTGAAAACAGACAAGGTATAGCTAATAGTGGTTAATAAAACAATATAGTTTGTTTACATGCACACAGGGTTGTTTATGATGGATTTAATGTAGTAGTGAGTATGTGGTATAATGGTATAGAAGCTTCCACAGCAGGTGTTTCTGGGCAGTGCTTAAAAGAACAGTTGGAACTGTTTTGGCTGGCATGTGGAAAGCAATACTGGTAGAATAAAACTTACAGATTGTATTCCCTCCATGAAGAAGAAGCCCAGTTTAAACTGTGTGAGTGGTACACTTACTTCCTCCAATAAACGGATGATGGTATTTGAATTACGCTTTCTCTGAGATTTCCTGCTGTCACATGGATGCCCCCCATAGTGTATACAAGCTCTTTTTGTTGTTGTTGTTCAGTCGCACAGTCGAGTCCGACTCTTTGCGACCCCGTGGACCAGATCATGCCAGGCCCTCCTGTCTTCATCCGTCCTCTGAAGTTGGCTCAATTTCATGTTCGTTGCATCTATGACACTGTCTAACCATCTCATCCTTTGCCGTCCCCGTCTTCTTTGACCTTCAATCTTTCCCAGCATCAGGGTCTTCTCCAGTGAGTGCTCCCTTCTCATTTGGTGGCCAAAGTATTTGAGCTTCAGTTTCATTATCTGGCCTTCCAGGGAACAGTCAGGGTTGATTTCTTTTAGGATTGACTGATTTGATCTTCTTGCAGTCCAAGGGACTCTCAAGAGTCTTCTCCAGCACCATAGTTCAAAAGAATCTATTCTTCGGCACTCGGCCTTCCTTACAGTCCAACTCTCGCAGCCATACATGACTACTGGGAATACCATTGCTTGGACCATGCGTATTTTTGTTGGCAGGGTGATGTCTCTACTTTTTATCATGCTGTTTAGGTTCACCATCGCTTTCCTCCCAAGAAGCAGGCTACTCTGCATATATATTAAATAAGCAAGGTGACAGTATACATCCTTGTCGTACTCCTTTTCCTATGCTGAACCAATCAGTTGTTCCGTATCCGGTTCTAACTGTCGCTTCTTGGCCCTTATACAGGTTTCTCAAGAGACATGTGAGGTGGTCTGGTACTCCCATCTCTTTAAGGACCTGCCATAGTTTGTTGTGATCCACACAGTCAAAGGCTTTAGCATAGTCAATGAAGCAGAAGTAGATATTTTTCTGGTACTCTCTTGCTTTCTCCATAATCCAGCGAATGTTGGCAATTTGATCTCTAGTTCCTCTACCTCTTCGAAACCCAGCTTGTACTTCTGGCAGTTCTCTATCCACGTACTGTTGAAGCCTAGCTTGTAGGATCTTGAGCATGACCTTGCTAGCGTGTGATATGAGTGCAATTGTGCGATAGTTTGAACATTCCTTGTCATTGCCCTTCTTTGGGATTGGAATGTATACTGACCTTTTCCAATCCTGTGACCACTGTTGCGTTTTCCAAATTTGCTGGCAAATTAAGTGCAGCACTTTAACAGCATCTTCTTTTAAGACTTTGAATAGCTCAGCTGGGATACCATCACCTCCACTAGCTTTGTTGTTAGTAATGCTTTCTAAGGCCCATTTAACTTCACATTCCAGGATGTCTGGCTCAAGGTCAGTGATTATACCATCGTGGTTGTCAAGGACATCGAGGTCTTTCTTGTATAGTTCTTCTGTGTATTCTTGCCATCTTTTCCTAATCTCTTCTGCTTCTGATAGGTCCTTACCGTTTTTGTCCTTTATCATGGCCATCTTTGCATGGAACGCTCCCTTGATTTTTCCAATTTTCTTGAAGAGATCTCTAGTCCTTCCCATTCTATTGTTCTCCTCTATTACTTTGCACTGTTCATTCAGGAAGGCCTCCTTATCTCTCCTTGCTGTTCTCTGGAAATCTGTATTCAGTTGGGTAAATCTTTCCTTTTCACCTTTGCCTTTCGCTTTCCTTCTTTCCTCTGCTATTTGTAAAGCCTCTTCAGACAGCCACTTTGCTTTCTTGCATTTCTTTTTCTTTGGGATGGTGGTGATTGCTGCCTCCTGTACAATGTCACGAACCTCTGTCCATAGTTCTTCAGGCACTCTATCTATCAAATCTAGACCCTTGAATCTATTCTTCACCTCTACTGTATATATACAAGCTATACAAGGTTACTGACAAGTAGCCAGTAAAGCAGCACATTAAGGGTAAGGAAGAACCAGCACTTGATAGCTTCGTAGTAATAGTTATGTACATTTTCCTCCTTTAAAGATCTCTTTACTGTGGTATAATGACTATGCAGGTACTGATTACGGTTGTTTAACTGGGCTTGTAAGGCAGAATTAAGAGAGTTAAAAGGAAAGTGATCACAGGACCTAGGTGAGTCATAAATAGCTGAGCTAGTTGCCTTTTAGATAAGTGGGGCTCTTAACAGGGCTTCTGGAGTTTGAATGAGAAAGATGAAGAATCATCTGGAAGAAGCATGATGTCATAAGGATGAAACCAAACATGAGTTTGTGCTAAGAGTCTCCGCCTTAGGGAACCTGGTACAAATATTGTTATGACAATAAACCCCAGGAGGTGCTCAAATGCACCACAATGCTGTGGGGAAGCAGGGAAGAAACCTTCTTCCCAACAGGGTTGAATCAAGGAAAAACAACCCATGTGTAAATGGCCCTAGTTAAGATATCTAAGCATAGATTTCAGTTGAAGGGTGGGTGGGGTACTCAGCATATTGAGAAAAAAGATATCTAATACCAAGCACACTTTCCCATCAAGTCCCTGAGACAAAACCCTAGCAAGCATGGGCTCGGACGATATTTTTCTGAATAACATCCAAGTTGATACTGCCCTGATGTTGCTACTACTTGATCTTAACAAAAAATCTGCTGGTCTCCAATATTATTCTCTAGTAAAAGAAATCACCTTTGAGCTTCAGCTTCACAGTAGGAATGGTATGTTGCCTTGTTTACAGGTCCCTCCTTTCTTTACCAATGATGTAAGTGTTCATCTAACCCTTTAAACAAACAAGAAAAAATGAAGGATAACAGCAAGGCTACCCCTTCCCCTCACTGTAATGCCTCCGCCATGTCCAGAAACTCTTCCAGAATGTTCTTTGTACACTCCCCTCTCCAGTACATACCTCCCCTTTTAAGGAGCTTGTTAATTTCATTTCCCTGTTTTTGTCTTTATAACACACAAAAGATGGACAAGGTGCCCTTTAAAGTCTCTAAAAGGGCTGCAAAGGTGTTCCCTTGAAGCAAGGCAGGCTTTCCTCAATAAGGCATCTATCAACAACACAGCCTACATATCAAGGTCTGAGTCCAGTAGCACCTTTAAGACCAACAAAGTTTTATTCTGGGTAAAGCTTATACCCAGAATAAAGCTTTGTTGGTCTTAAAGATGCCACTGGACTCCAGCTTTGTTCCGCTGCTTCAGTCCAACATGGCTACCCACCTGAATCAGCCTACAAAGGAAACAGCAGTGTATGAGAGTGGCAAGGGATTTGTGCAAAGGAAGGGAAAATGTGGCCACACTCCTTCTGATGCTAAGGTGGCTTGCCCCCAGTAAAGCAGTAAAACTGAGCTACCCACTGAAGACCCATATGGCCATTCCATCAGTTTAATTCCCAGTAACAGAAGACAGTGTACTTGGCATCTGTTTAAAGCCCTGAAGCCTGTCTAAAGTGTCATTGTACAACAAATCATTAGATAACATGTGGCAATAAACTTGAACACCCACCACTGCATCTGGAACCAGAAAGTGTTCAGATGCTTGGCTGTTGAATAACAGAGGTTTCAGAAAACATAAATGTTGTTGATTTGTAGATGTGTACATATGTTGCAGGAGAGGCTTAATGGTTCTTACAAGCCCCATCCCACTGGCAGATGCTGGCGTATGCAGAAGATTGACTAAATCACTCCCAGGTGAAGCAAGTCATATTTCTTTAACACAAACAGCTGGAAACATTAAGCACATCTGCATTAATTCTCTCATTTGCAACTTTTTCCTACTATAGCTCTTGATTCTTTTGGTTGCATTCAACATTCAGCCATTAAACCTTTTGTGTTAGAAAGTTACATTCCAAATATGAAGACTGCTGAAAGCAGAGATGCTCATATGCGGAAGAAAGGATTATGTGGTTTAAAATACTGCCGCAATGTAGTATTTAGTAACTACTGTTAACACAAAATGTGAGTAGTGCAAGCTCTTTGTAGGAAGCGTGGCATAAACATGTATTTACTTTTAAAAGACCTACTAATATCCCACCCTTGAGTGCCGGTTCTGTTAACGAAATCCAGTTTAGCAAGAAAATTATTTTTTACTTGCTTTCTGGGGGGCCCTCTACCGCTGTAGCGATTGACCGGTTAGGAAAACCAAGCCGCTGCTCAGGGCCTACATGCACGTCTCAGCCTTTTCCAGCCACCGCTACAGTGAGTCAGCAGGCCGGGATGACGACTGGGCCCAGGAAGCGGGGCGAGCGCATTGACAAAACGAAGCTCCACCCCGCCAGCGAGGTCAAGAAACACGTGTATACACGTGATTAACACCCCCCCACACACACACACAAACTCCGCCTAGTTTGCGGAAGGTCTTGGAAACGTCTGTTTCTCCAAACTAGTTCGCCCCGGTTTTCCTGTATCCAGGAAAATGCTGAGTAACGCTTACACGACGGTTTTTTAAAGGCCCCTGTGGGCTGTCGGACCCTTCCCCCCCCACACCTTTCCAAACCAAAGCTGAAATGCCTCCGGCATCGCGAAAGGGTCATTTCGTCTCATTATTCTGATCGCGCTCCCCTCCTCCTCCTCCGCCTCCTCTCTCCACACCGGGAGGGTGGGGACTTTCCCAGCTCAAGCCCGTCCTCCTCGCGCCACCGCCTATAAGATGCAGCGGGCAGGCGGCGCTTGACTGAGCTGAAGGGCGAAGTCTAAGGCGAAGGCAAAGTCGGCTTCGGGGAGTGCGTCGCTGCTGTCGGGTCCGGCCTCGTCCGCCAATTCTTGCTGCGCCACACCAGCCAGCGTCTCCTCCGCCATGGCTCCGCTGACGGTAAAGGCCTACCTGCTGGGCAAGGAGGACGCCTCCCGGGAGATCCGCCGCTTCGCTGTCGAGGCGCCTGCCTTTTATCAGCCCGTTCGGGACAAGGTGGCCGAGCTCTTCCAGGGGCTGCTCCGCAATGCCGCCGCCGCTGCCACCACCGGCTCTTTCCAGATGTACTACAAGGGTGAGTGACTCGAGAGACGGATGGGGTGGTCCATTGCTACTAGCCTGACATGAAGCCTTTTCCTCCCCTTTTCTCTGTGCCGGGAAAAGCCGCTCGATTGTCTGCAAAGGACGGGGTAGGGCTCCTCAAAGGCCGCAAGATCAGTGCGGTTACCGCTGTGTGACAGGCAGCCGCTCAACAGGTGTAGACCTTCCGACAGGGCCAGGCAGCGGGCAGTGTCATCTCACCTGTGGAGTTTCTGCCTGTTACACAGCAGTTAATGGCTATGCGTGGATTTGTCCATTTTTTTAAAAGTGGCAAAGCTAGCAGGACGTTCTGGTCTAAATATCTTGGAATAGTTATGCTCTCTCTTTCAAATTCCATACTTTTCAAAAATCGGTGCTTAAATTCCTAAACCAAGGATGTGCTAGGAGACAGGAGGTATCAAGACTATCGGGAAGCCATCTTCCCTAATTTAGAAATGTTGCTTGCAAGTTCTAGGCATGATGAGATAGGCTGTTGAAATTAGTATGGAAAAGCAATCTGCAGGTATTGCTGTTTTGCCCCCAAATAATTCACATTCATAGGGTTGAAATATGTTACAAAAAAATAATAATGCTGCACTTGAGATAGGCTGTTGAAATTAGTATGGAAAAGCAATCGGCAGGTATTGAGGCTGTTTTGCCCCCAAAGAACACATTTCAACCCTATGAATGTGTTACAAAAAAACAAATGCTGTGCCCCAGTTAGCTCTGGCTAAATTTTAGTCCTGTTCGGTTACAATCCCCAGTTCACCATGAAGAAAGGGGGGAGGGATCTGCCCTCTAGCTGTTCCTTAACTATTGTAGTTTCTGTATTCTTATGTATAGTGCAGTGATGTCAGGTTTGCCACAAGTTTATGTGAATGGGACAGTGAAATTAAGGGATGATCAAATTGGTGGTAGTTATGCTCTTAAGGAGGAACTAGACACAAAGAGATCTTGTATGAGAGTGATATGTATTGAGGTGAATGTGGGTTATCCCTGGGGTTTTTATTAAGATACTTGGTGTCTGTATTCTTGACTGGAAAGCATCATTCCCATATCTGGTATGGGTGGTGGGATGTCCTTATTACATAAAGAGTGGAAGTTTCTGTGTAGTGCTTTGGGGTAAAAGTCAGACATTCTTTGAATAAAGACTAATGTATTTCTCATGCCTGGTACTGTAAACTTATTTTAAATTAGCTTATCAGGAGTGATCGCTGTCTCAGTAGAGAGGACACATGAACTGATCTTCAGTAGGACCAGGTTACAGATCATTATTGTGAAATGTGTCTGTTGCGGCTCCTCCCCCACATTGGGATTCACCTTGTTGGTGATGTTGGAGGGTGCCATTCATGTGAGTCATTCAGGTTACAGGTTTACTTTTCACTTCTTACCTCTGGCCAGTATTGAACCTCTGTTAGAAATGTTTTGAAGTGTTGATCACTTCTGCAACAAGGTGGTATTATGAGTAACGGGCAGGTGTGAAAGTTCATTTTATATTGTTTGGAGGAAAATACTGCTTGCTGTCAGCATAGTTATACACTTGGATCTGGACAATAATCTACTGTCCCTTTAACAGTGGGTTTTAAGGAGTAGTGTGAATATTGTAAGATTTACACTTTTTAAAACTAATGTTATTTTTTAAAAAATCATGGTTCATAATATATGAGCCCTCTGAGTGCAATGTGGTGTACTGGTAAGATGCACAGAGTTATGAGGCTGACACCTGTGTCCTTTCCCAGGAGGGAGTCTGGCAACAAATTAATTGTTCCAAATGAAAAATAAGAATGCTAATTGCTTGTATACCTGCCTGCCACTTAGCATTTGTGGTTTTCAGCTTTGCCTCAGGATCATAACAGACTTACATTGGCTTATTTATACCAAGGATGATACCACCAGCTGCTTTTAAGGCACTCTTGAAATGGACACCCTTTAAAAGTTGCTTGCCATCAAAGGGAAAAAAATGGAGTGTTTTTCAAGTTGGAGCAGTAGATCACAGAAAGCCTCTAGTCTTTTGGTATTTTCTGTAGCTGTGTTATGTATAATCTTAATAGCTTTACATAATTGACCTCTTCATGCTTTAGTGTGTGCTTTACAAGAGACTAGCACCTCCCCATGTAATAATAGAAGAACATACAATGGATAGTTGAGAAGACATGCATACCTTTCAATAGTGGCTCACATTTCTTTCATCTGTGTATCAGCTAGCTAGTAGCATGCCCTTACATTTTCATACAGTGATGTCAGCAAGGCTGTTCTTTTAAAACACACACACACACACACACACACACAGTTGTATGCAAGATTGTACCAGTGGCAAACTAATGGTCAAGTGTACTCAGTGGGTTTAAACAACTTTATTAGATGATTCCATGTGACTGAGGAGAATAGTGGCTGAAAAGAAAAAGAAAAAGGAGTCTTGCAACACCTTAAAGACTACAAAAAATATTTTATGGCCTTTGTAATGGCTCCTCAATTTGTAAATTTAAAAGTGCATTTCTGTCCTGTACCAGTAATATTTTTTTTCTTCTTTCAGATGAAGATGGAGATATGGTTGCTTTTTCCAGTGATGAAGAACTGCAGCTGGCCATGCCCTATGTAAAAGATGGAATTTTTCGCATATATGTTAAAGGTAACCTTGTTTCTTTTGATCCAATTTAGAACTGAGTATTGCCTCTTTTCAATCTTGGTGGCTGTTACATTATAATGCCTTCTGGAGGCTCAGGATTGGCCAAGAAGTCTGTATTATGCAGCCGAATGTCATTGTGTAACAATGGCTACTTCTGAGAATGATCACTTGAGGAAAACGTAAGAAGGTGGAGAAGCTTAAGAACTCCCAAGGGCTGACTCCCAGTGCTTCAGAGGGAGTTATGTTGCTTTGGCAAAAAGCCACCATTGTGCTGGCTTCCAGTTAGTTGTTCAAATTGGTTTCTGCCAATGCAACTCCCAAGTTCCTGTGAGGCACTAAACATCAGCACTTGAGAGTTCATAGACTTCTCTGCTCCCTCACCTTTCCCTCAAATGATTGGTTTTCACAGTGCTTATTTTATGTAATGGTAGCCTGTTGCAAGCTGTTCCAGAATTGAGTAATAAAAAGGTCCCCCCGTGCCCCCCCCCGTATGGAGTAATTTGAGCAGCTCAGGTGTAGTGTAGAGTGTAGTGCAGCAACCTGGAGTGGTGGAACTCAGAAAGAGGTTGACTTCCTCATCTCTTTACAGGTAGGCCAAAGAGATCAATCAAATCATACTTACGAAAAATTCTTACAAACACACTTACAAAAACTTCATATAAGCAGGACGAGCAGCAATACCCCCCCCCCCGCGTTAAACTTATTCAGTAAAATAACTGACAATTCAGTCCAGTGTTACTCTAGTCAAAGCCTGTTGAAACCAGTGGACTTAGACTGCAGTAGCTCTGCATGGGATTGGACTGTCAAGGAAGCAGATGGTTAGGCTTTTCTTCATGTGCATACACTGAATGGAATGTAGCTCTCTATTGAGGCCCTGGCTATAACAGATTTTCAGATTTTAATCAAATATTACTGAAGATAATCTAATTTTATGTTTCCCGGTTATTTTTGAGCCAAAAGTGGTTTATAATGAGATCTTAAGAAGGAAGTCAATATCTTACAGATGTGTCTTAGCACTTAATTGTAACCTGTTGTAGATGTGAATGAGAACTAAATCTACAGCTTCATGATATTTTAATTCTAACATGCCTTAGAAGTGAGATTGAGTGTCATCTTGAGCAAAGTTAACATCCTTCTAAACCCATTGGCATCTTAAAAGGGTGTAACACAGCTTGAGGCTATACTGAGATATTCCAGTCCTCGACAGCCAGTATGGTATAGTGGTTACATTTCCTAAAAGTGTTGTCCCTCTGTTTTGTGCTTGTGTGCTCTTGTCTTTCAACTCTGAGAAATGTTTTAATGTTGGATTTTAACTTGTTTATCTTGGTAGTAACATAGGGGCAACTTGTTCTTTTGCGTCCTTCAGAGAAAAAAGAATTGAAACGTGAGCACCTGCACCGCCAGTCCTGCAGCCAGGAGCGTCCTCCGAATATGGTGCACCCCAATGTGGTCTGTGATGGCTGTGACGGTCCAGTTGTGGGTGCCAGATTCAAATGCACTGTTTGTCCAGACTATGACCTGTGCAGCACTTGTGAGGGAAAAGGCATCCACAAGGATCACAACATGATCATGTTTCAAAGTCCATTTCTCAATCCACTGGAGGTGAGCCATGTGGGGAAAAGGTCATTAAAGAGAGGTGCTCAAAGACCATTTTACCTACGATATGGGGCAACTGGGTTTAAAACAACATCCAACTAACATGCTGCATTTACCCTTTAGTGGCTTCCTAGAGGTCGGTGGCTTCGTAAGATGCGACATGGTGGTCCATTTCCATGGATGCAAGGTTGGGGGCACTCTTGCCCTTCCGGTCGCTGTCAGAACTCTGGTCAGGCACAAGCCAGTACCAGTAATACTGTCCCAAATGCTACTCCTGAGCAAGGTAATCTTTACTTTTTGATAATTGATCCTGACTGATATGCCTAGGTGAAATATGCTTGTGGTACCTGCCCCCCTCCCCTTCAAATGAATTGTTTTAGATAAATGTGCTTGAGTTTTCCTGTGCACCAAATAACCATTAAAAGTGGAAATGAATTGGATAGCTAGAATTAATGAAGACACAAATTGAACTTTGCTGAATCCTCTTATGCTCTGTTAATGATTGAAACCTTTTTTTTTAAGGAGGGGTTTCTAGCAATCAGTCTCAGGATCCCAATGTCACCTTCTTGAAGAATGTTGGAGAAAGTGTTGCAGCATTTCTGAGTCCACTTGGTAAGTGTTTCCTTTCATTTAGTGAAGCATTTGTTCTCTTTTCTTTTGCTGAAGAGATAAGTGCTACTTCCATTAATGTCACATTATGTTGGCTCCCTCCCAAGAAAAATGGTTCCTCTGTCGTTAGTTATTGTCTTATCTGTTCCTCCCAAATAATTTAATTTGGAGGCCTGGAGCTAATGTAGGTGCCTTTTGTCTTTGTATCCAGAGGTTGTTTCATCTGTTTTTTTGAAAGTGTCACAAATCAGGGATAGTATTACACAGGACAAAGTGGCTGTCACTCCTGAAATTTTCTTGATGTCCACTCTTGGCAAGAGCCTTGCATTAAATTACTATATGATGAAAAAGTACTTGAAGTTGTCACAGCAGTGTAGACTGTAATCAACTTTAAGGACTGGGTACATGCCAGAGCCTACAGAATAGCTGCTTTGTTGCCCATCTTTAATGCAAACAAAGTGTCTTTATATTTTCCCCAAGTGATAGCACTGCAGGTAGCTTGCCTCCTGACTTTTTGACTGGCTTATGGGACATCTGTTGTGCTAACCAGCACTGCAAGAGGTAGAAAAGTAGACCTAAACGGCCTGCGTTCACATCTTCAAAATCTTAATCTTGTTTAATTCTACCTGTCATATTGCTTCTCTAGGCATTGATGTTGATATTGATGTGGAACACGAGGGACAAAGAAGCAAAGTGGCACCGGTGCCTAGTGCCGAGAAGAGCAGTGCCATGCCTAGAAGCAGTTCAGGGGACCAGTCAAAATCTCAAACAAGCAGTAAGAGCACATCAGCTTCAGAGGCAGGGGATGCTATTACTGACCAGCTTCAGGAGATGGTGGTGGATTCTCCCCCTGTGCAGATGGAACAGGATAGTCTCTTGTCACAGGTAAGAGAATGAAGACTTGGCAGGTTCTGAAATGTGCACTTCCGTGTTGTAAATATGATGAACTCATGCTGGAACTAATGTGAGCATTAAATATGATGAACTCATGCTGGAACTAATGCTCAGTTCAGGCGTTCTTCTGGTGGGCATAACTCTGGTTAGCAGTTACTCCCCTCCCCCAATTTCAGTCAGTATACTGAAGACACAACTCTTCCACAGGCTGATTTGTCATGACAGTTGCATTCAAGTGTCTTAACAGACATCTGTTTCTTTCCCTGTTACTGTGCTTCTTAATGGCATTTTAATCATGTTTAAGAATTATTTATGGGAGAAACAGGCCTCAGTTAAGGCACTCCCACTTAAATATCACAATAAAGTAGGTGAAAATGAATCTTTGATCTCAAAATGTTGCATGAGGTATATAAGCATGACTATGAGCCAGGTTCATATCTTGTGAACCAAAACTTGTTTATGATGTCTGAACTGAGCCTAAGGCTAGTACTGAAGCTTGCCAATGTTAGAACTTTATTAAGTAAGTTCTTATTTTAAGTACCTAAAATTTTGGCATTAATGCTAAACAGTGAATGAATCAAAACATAAAGGACAGCAGTAAAGTGTTTAAAATGTTTTTTAAAACTCCTGAATGGTAGCGTTTAATCCTATTTGAGTATCAGAATGTCAGCATGTTGTGCTTGCTGGAGTATAGTATCTACTATACAGATTTAAAAGTTTTTACTCTCCATCTTAACATTGGAGGCTGAAAACAGATTTTTAGTACTGCTGTCCATAACTGTGTAAGTTAGCCAACTTCAGCACTGGTGGCTGCATTATTCAGTAACAGATTTGCATTGTGTATTTGTGATCCCAGGAACCAGCTGAATCCAGTGGTAGTTTGGCAGGGGATGAGGACTGGACCCACTTATCTTCAAAGGAAGTAGACCCTTCTACTGGCGAACTGCAGTCTTTACAAATGCCAGACACAGACAGCCCATGCTGCCTGGATCCAACTCAGGCTCCTGCTCATACAGGACCAACAGGCTTGAGAGAGGCTGCACTCTACCCTCATCTTCCACCAGGTAACAAGAGTTTGGAAGTTCACATACAATTCTATACCACTAAAGAAATTTCTGGTTTGAAAAAGCAAACTTTGATGATAGCAGGCTTATGCAAAGAGATTGGCCAGTAACGTGCCTTAAATTAAATTGCATCTCTTCAGTATGCTCTGAGCATTCTTATTTGCTGTTAAATACCGACCTTGTAACTGATGGAATTTGAAAAAATTGATAATCACAATTTGCCTGTGGAAATAATTAAGCTTCAGTCTTGTTGTTTTAGTCTATTTATGTTGCTTTTCCTTGCAAAATATTGACTTGGGTTCTTGCAAAGTGGACTAGTGTTACATAGTTAGTAAACTATAGTGACTTGGGTTCTTGCAAAGTGGACTAGTTAGATATGAGTCGCTCCACACTGATGATGACTGTGATCATTCTAACTCCAGTGTTGCTTAGTAAGCCTTCCTGAGCCCAAGTAATTCTTGCTGGACACCTCTTATCTTTACAGACGCAGATCCACGCCTGATTGAGTCCCTGTCACAGATGCTGTCCATGGGATTCAATGATGAAGGGGGATGGCTCACTCATCTGCTGCGTTCCAAGAACTATGACATTGGGTCAGCACTGGATACTATCCAGTACTCCAAGCATCCTCCAGCTCCCTAATGTTACCTATGCAACGCCTAATACTGAAAGCAGAATGAAAAAGGCTCCACAGAGTAGCCTGCTTTTTATATCTTACCTACTGCAATGATCAGATCCTTCTTTCTTTGTTCATTCTACAAAAATAAATGGTCATGCTCTTCCTCTTTCACCCTGTCATCTGTGATATACTTTATGTACCTGACTTAGGATATATTATCCCTAGCTGTTGGGCATTTTGATACATATTTAAGTTTGTCTGCCTTAGGGTGAGTATGTCCCTAGCTGTTGGGCATTTTGATACATAGTTTGTCTGCCTTAGGGTGAGCACGTGTCCTTAAGCAGATAATTTGTACTGAATATATGAATTGCAGACCCCTTACACAATGTTTGATAGCAAGAAGAGAAATATACCCACTGCACTGCTGTTGTCTCTATACATCATCATTATATCTAATGTTGACCTCAGCCAAATCTGGATTCTTAATGCTGGAGACTGGAGCCATGAGCAGACAAGACAACTCTTTCTACAAACCAAATAAAGCCCCAGGTTGCAAAAAAAATCTGAAATCTAAAGAGAAATATATGGGGGGGGGGGATAATAGAAGTAGCACCTGTATCTTTAAGAAAAGAGATCCCAGTGGCTATTGTGGAGGTCGCTAGGCAACCAAAACACATTCTCAGCTCTCAAGCCTTGGCTTCTGTCAGTAATGGCCTTATTTAGGGCTGTATTTAATTAAAGAAATCCTAAACTGATTTTAAGTTTTATCACTTCTATGTATGCAATTTTTTTAATATTGTAAGCCACCTTGAGCTCCATATGAAGAAAGGTGGCTAGTGAATATTTTAAGTAAAAGGTGGGGGTGGTAAGGGCTCTTTTGTTTTGGCCTCTCAGAGGACTGATCTTTCAGGCCCAGCAACAGTGTGACTTGCATGTGCATGCTTGCTGCTGTTCAGCAGCCACTGCACGAAAATCCAGTGTGGTGTAGTGGCTATAGTTTCAGACTTGAATGCCCACTATGCTGTGGAAGCTCACTGGATGACCTTGGGCTAGTCATTCTCAGCCTAATGTATCTCACAAGGCTGCCAGAAGGATGGAAAGAAGAAATAGGGAAAGGGGATACAGGGGAATGTGAGCCTCCCCATTGAGGGTTCCCCAGCGTGCAACTGGGCCTGGTACAGCCAAAAGTATACAACTAGGACCAGACCACTGGCTAGCATTGAGCAACTTGACCAGACTTCAGCCAGGGGAGGCAAAGAAGAAGGAAAAGGTAGAGGCTGGGGGGGCGTGACAATAAGATGCCCCCTGCAAGTCCCTGCAGTTGTAGATGACTTAAGCTGAACTACTGACAGCAGTAAGCTGTGTGTCTTCAGGTTACACACATACACACCCCTTAATGGCAGATCCATGTTTATAGTAGGAAGTATCCACTTTACTGTATAAGGAAATTATGATGCTGGGCTTACATAACAAGTGTGCTTGGGAGGGCACATAAAGCAGGGGTGTCGAACTCATTTGTTACAAGGGTTGGATCTGACATAAATATGACTTTGTTGGGCCGGGCCACGTACCATAAATATAATGCCAGGTACCAGAGATATATACTGTATAAAGGACAGCAGCTGATAAGCTCCAAGTTGGTGTATCCTCATTGCAAGACCTCATAGGCTGGGAAGGGGGGGGCAAAGAAAACCCACATGGGCAGACTGGCGAGCCAGCGGTGCAGCACTGGGCAGGTGCTCCCACACTGCTTGACTGCTGCAGACAATGTTCCAACATGCTGAAGCCACGATCAGAGTAGTTCTACCCACTCCCCCACCCAGCAGCCTCCTGTTCCTTCCATTAGTTGCTTGAGCACTGGGCAGGTGCCTGGATGGGCCGATTCTGGCCCCTGGGCCTTATGTTTGACACCCCTGATATAAAAGATGAGCATCTCATCCCTATTGTCTTTTTGCACTCTTAAAATAACCACAACTGTATTTATGTATGAGGAGGTTTACAGTTTCTTTTCTTAACAAATATGAAATAAGAACTGAATGAAGACAACTTACTGCTATCAATAATTAGTTGTGACAGATCTCACTAGTTATATGGTGCTGAAATTTAAATCTCATGGGCAAACAGTCACTTTTACACATATACCCAAGAGATCTGGTCCAGTAAAGAATGAAAGTGGTAAAGACACTCCAGAACATGGGTGAAAACAGGAAAACCAATCAAAACTGAACTGCCTCAACAGTAGCCACTGCTTTTAATTGTTCTACCTACGCCTAACAGTAAACAAACACTGGGTATGATCTTAAAGATTTTTATTCGCACACCCCCAGCTGTAGTGGGCATGGAAAGGCAAAGTCCAATTCTGCTTAAGGAAGTACTTCTGTGGGTGGAAGGGAATCTGAACCATTGGCAATTTTAGATAAGACCAATACTAGCTAATGACCCCCCTGTGTAACATGCTGTGTTACTGAGAGTAGTCCTCCACTGTATCAGAATAGCAAGACAACTTAATATCTCTCTGCACTTATTAAATATACAACAGCTTTTAAAGACCATGTTTTGGAACTAAGGTTCTTCTAAGCCATTACAAATAGACTAATAATGAATAAACAAAGCCATAGGAAACAAGCCACAGTCATAGGAAACAAGTAGAATGCCTGAATATTCTTCAAAGGTAGTCATCAAAGTCCTCTCCAGTAGAAAAAAGGCCACTATTTCGAACTGTTGCAGTAGAGAAAGCAAGAGGATGTACCAAAGGAATAGAGGGAGATTCCTTTGATAACATCTTTTGAAGATTAGCACTGGGTAAAACTGAAGAATCTTTGTTTTTTTCAGGTAGTATGTTGGCTTCTTCAATATGCTTGCTATCCATCTGTACTTTATCTAGGGCAATAGAGGCAGTCTGCCTTGGTACATGTTGCCAGTTTGGGGGGCTGTCAATTAAGTTGGCTATTATTTCATTACTTGCAGCAGCAGAACTTTGGACTACAGGCACCTGACACTCTAATACAGCAGCAGCCATGCTCCTATTAGAAGTCTTTGATGAAAGAGATTTCCTCTGATTAGGAAGGACAACATTTCTTAATGCTCTCTCTTCATTCTTTCCATGTATCAGACGTTCTTCAACAGCAGAAATCCCCATACTTTTATCTGCAGCATTTCCATAGGTTTGTGTATCACTGAATGAATTTCTTCTGTGCTACAGGAGGACAGGAAAAAAATTACAGTCATACCCAAGTACAAGGGATACCCTAGAACAGGAGTCCCCAACCTTTCCCCAGCCTGTGGGTAACCTTTGGAATTCTGACACAGGGTGATGGGCACAACCCCCCCCCCCAATGGGCTGCCACAAGAGGCACAGCCAATCACAAAATGTCAGAGAGTGAAGTCCTGCATAACTGATAGTCTTCAACGTTTCAGGGATTAGCTGTGTTTATTAAGATAACTGTTGGCTGTCAGACCCCTCCTGCAGAAGGGCATGGTGGCACCCAGAGAGATAAAGACCATACACCTTTCATATTTAATATAACTCCAGGTATCAGTTCACATAAACTCAATGTCTGTCCCAAAGGCGACCCCAACACTGCCTGCAAGGAAATTAGCCTGCGAAACATATTTGGAAGTGATTGAAAGAGGCTGACATGCAAACAAGTCTCTCCCACATGCAAACAAGTTTCTCCTACTTAAAAGGAACAACAATGGGTTCTCAGGAACACTTTGAAACACTTGTATCATTTGTATCAGTCACTGGGAACATACCAAGTCATTTTGTTCTTAGGCATCATTTTTCCTCCTATAAATGCAAGCTCACATCTTTAGTGGCACTCGCTCGCGTCCTTTGGCTTGCTAGCTTGGCTTGCTTGCTTGCTCTTCCATCTATCTCTGCTCTGCTATACTGAACACTCCTTCTCACATGTAGGCTCTTTGAAGCACAGGTCACTTCTCTCTCCTCCAGAAGAGAGGTAAATATAGCCTCTTCCCTAGTCTATTATCCCCCCTTTTCCACACTATTTCTTTCTTAGGCCAAATTTGCAAGATTGTTTTCAGTGTGTCTTTTAAAATGTATATTTGCCGTTTTAGTGCTTTACAATAAAAATACTTTTATTTGAACATCAGCCTGTTTTATTTAAGCGTTCTCTAAGGGAAAATCCTGGTATAAATAAGTGGAAATCTCACTAGTTACCACCTCTCACACTGCCTCTAAATAAAGCTAATTCCCAACTCAAATAGGTAACAGCACTCTGGATAACCCCCCTCTTGCTTAGCTAAATTCCCCTATCAAAAATCAATTAATTACTAGACCATTTTGGGTAACTATACTGTTTAAAAATATTTTCTTGCATACACCTTCAGTCACACAATGAAGATCCTTCTGATGTGGTGGAAGCTGCAGTTGAAGTGGCTTTTAAAACGTCTGCACAGCCAATCAAATCTCCAATCAGAATCCTTGCTGGGCAAAAGCCCCATCTGGCTCCATCCACTTTCTAAAAACCCTTGGTGGGTGCCAGGGAAGGTGTCACCGGGAGCAGTGGCACCCACAGGAACCACACGGGGGACCCCTGGCCTAGGGAATGGCTGCAAGGCGGTATGGGATGGCACCTCCATGCCATTTCCTTAGGAAGACTACCAGGTCACTCACTATGGTTTTAAAGTAAACCTGGGATTTTGTTTTCCTCTGCTTTGTTTTGTATCATGCACCTTTTGCACACTTTTCTGCTTTGTGACAGTGTAGCACCCAGTTCTAGAGTGCATGAATCGACCTGTTCTGGGGTGAGCCATCTGGTAGGAAGTTGGTCTGCTGTTCTGATGGGGTTTGGATCCAATGTTAATAGGCACCTCTAGCAGTGAAACATTTGCTCACTGGTTCTCTTCCAAGATCAGGTTACCAAATAGATCAGCTTATCCTGTAGATCTTATCAGATAATGGAACATGCTTACAAACAATGCATTTAGGAATGGAGACAGTGAGCTACCAAGGGACCTACAGTGAAGCCAGACTGGACAGAGCTGTAGATCGTTAATTCTTTTAAAAAGTAAGTTTTGTTTTTCTGAGTGTTTAAGACAGAATGCACATTGTTCTCAAGCAAAAGTCACATGAGCCGCTTCTATTAATGTTGACTGATGACTCAAGCCTTCCGTAGCAAGATTAAGCACTACATCCCATGCAGATGCAG